GAGCCTCCCAAACCTCTCTAGCCTCTTCTACTTCTCGTCACTCATAGGTGGACCAATCGGGGCCTGAGCCGCTGCAACCAGCTGGGCTAGTAGTACCTCTGATGTATGAAGTCCCTGAACTACCTGGTTTGGAGTACGGACGACGGGTGTCTGAGCACCTCCCCCAGCCTGAGAAGTGGCTAGTGCGGTCAGAACTGAAACCACCTGAGCAAGGCTAGTGCATACAGTCAATATTTGGACCAGAACCTCCTGAAGGCCTAGAATCCCAATTGGCACAGCTAGTGCCTGAATTGGTCCCACCGGCTCAACCACATCTGGTGTCTGCTCCTAAGCTGGAGCAACGGGTGGATCCACAGGTGTTGCTCTACCTATTCTACGAGCTGCACCTTGGCCTCTACCGAGGCCCCGGCCTCCCGCGACCCTAGCTGGTGGTACTGGTGGCCTTCCGCCCTATCCGGTAGCACGTGTCCTCACCATTTGTGAGAGAATAAAATACTAGAAATTTAGTTTCCAGAATCAACAAATTCGCTTGACAAGAATACAAGAAAATGAAGTTTCCTATTGGTTTGGTAGCCTATCGAAGATAAGTACAGCCGTCTATGTACCGATCCTCAAGACTCTACTAAACCTACTCATGACTCGTGAAACCTATGTAACCTAGGCTCTGATACTAACTTGTCTCGACCCAAATCTTAACATGTCGTGATGGCGCCTATCACAGTACTAGGCAAGCTGACATCACCAAACAACTACTCATTTTAATTTAAAAGCATGATATATTGAGTTTAAAAGTGAAAATCTCATAAATAACAGAAAGGACTAACTGCGACTCAAATACGAAATCTCCCAAAATCTAGGTGTCATCGAGTACATGAACTACTAAATATCAACATAGTCAAACTTCTGATACAACTATCTGGAAAGATAGAATAGTGCTAAATAAACTGAAAAGAAGGAGAGTCGAGGTCTGTGAACGCCAATGTAGCAACCTCAAAAGTCTCCAAGCAGAAAATGCTCCCAAATCTAGCAACCACCGTGCCTAGAAGTACCTGGATCTACACACGAAGTGCAGATTATAATATGAGTGTGACCAACCCAATGTACTCAATAAGTAACAAGACTAACCTTGGGCTGAAAGCAGTGACGAGCTCAGAAAGATACAGTCCAAATCCAGATAATAACAGTACAGATATGATAGGAAAATGAAAGTAGTAACTCAGAGAATCTCATAATCAGTTGTACACAGTACAGAAATGTAAACATGCTTTCAAGTTTAACAGTTTAAGCTCAACATTGATAAAATATTACAAGTATGACTGATATGAGAAATGCTACATCTCTATATCTACATGTCAAATGTGCATGTCACATATAATGCATCACAGTGATAACCTCATGTACTCACACTCTTAGAGTACTCAATCTGACTGTCTCAACTATCACTCATCACACTCAATCACTCAACACTGTACAATACCTACGCTCACTGCTGGTATGTCAGACTCTGGAGGGGTGGATCCTTCCCAAGCGCTAATATTAAGCCAATATGGCTTATTGCGGCATGCAACCCGATAAATCCTATAAGGCATGCTACGACATTCAGCCCGATCCATAATAATATATATAAAGCCAAGAAGGCCTGCTGCGGTGTGCAGCCCGATCCACAACCTCACTCAGAACACGGCTCTCAGGCCCCAACTCAGTCATCAATCTCTCTAGTCTCTCGGGCTCACAAATCATGTCAATCAGCCCAAACAATGATACATGGTGTAACAATAAATAACAACAGAGACTGAGATATGATATGCAAATGATGGATGTGACTAAGTACATAATTGTAATTTAAGCAAATAATTCAACAGTACAAATAATCTCTGTGGGTCTCAATAGAATAAGCATATAGCCTAAATATGATTTCTAACATCGATTGCAGCTCAATTACTCTAACACATAGGGATTTCATGAATAGCAACAAGGTTTGATAACTACACAATACCACGGAAGCAACCGAGTCACAATTACCACGGTGCACGCCCACACGCCCGTCACTTAGCATGCGCGTCACCTCAATACAAATAACATAACACGTATTTCAGGGATTCATACCCTCAGAACCAAGTTTAGATGTGTTACTTACCTCAAACCGCGCAAATCTCTACTTCAACAAGCCCTTGCCTCGTGAATCGGCCTCCGAACGACTTGAATCTAGTCACAAACAACTTAATACAATTAGTACAATCTATATGAATCGATTCCATATGATAAAGCTAAATTCTTTAACCAAAGTAAAAAAGTCAACCCAAAAAGTCATCCTTGAGCCCACGTTTCAGAATCAGACAAAATTTACAAAATCCGAATGCACATTCAATAACGAGTCCAACCATACTAAAATTACTAAATTACGATCTCAACTCGACCTTCAAATCCTCAAATTATAGTCTATGAAGTTTCACAATTTTTTCCTCAATTTCTCCAACCCAAAACACTAATTAAATGATAAAAATAATGATAGATTCATGTACAACAACCAAAACCGAGTTAGAATCACTTATTCTAATCAACTCCTTAAAAATTCCATCAAGAATCGCCCAAATCCGAGGTCTCTAGCTCAAAATATGAAAAATAGGTTCAAACCTCGATTTTGAAATTTAATAATTGCTGCCCAAAGGTCTTTCTTCGCAAACGCGGAAAGTGCCTCGCATTCGTGAAACACAAAATTCAACTGCCCAAAAAATCCTCTTACGCGAACGCGAAGGACCCATTGCAAACGCGATGCTTCACAGTGCTTTGCCTACGCGAACGCGTTCCCTTGACTGCGAACGTGAAGGCTTAAGGCCTGGTGCCCAAGCTTGCCTCATCCTTCTACGCGAACGTGAGCACCTCCTCGCGATCGCGATGCTCAAACTCCCTTCACCTTCGTTAACACGGAGAGCAAACTTCTCTTGCCTCCCAGATACCCTTCGCGAACGCGAGACCTCTCTCGTGAATGCGTATAAGGAAACCAGACACCAGAAAAATCTACAGCTTTACAAGGCCAAACTCAATCCGCAATCAATCCAAAACTCACCCGAGGCCCCCGAGACCCCATCCAAACATACCAACACATCCTAAAACATCATATGAACTTAGTGGAGGCCTCAAATCACATCAAACAACATAAAAACACGAATCGCACCCCAATTCAAGCCTAACGAACTAATGGATTTCCAACTTCTACAATTGATGCCGAAACCTATCAAACCAACTCCGATTGACCTTAAATTTTGCACACAAATCATAAATGACACAACGGACGGACCTATTCCAACTTTCGAAACTAAAATCTGAGCTCGGTAACAATAAAGTCAACTCTCGGTCAAACTTCTCAACTCTCCAAACTTTAACCTTTTCCAACTTTCGCCAATTCAAGCCAAATTCACCTACGGACCTCCAAATCAATATCCGGACATACTCCAAAGTCCAAAATCACCATGCAGAGCGATCAGAACAATCAAAACTCCCTTCCGAGGTCACTTACACACAAGTCAACATCCGTTCAACTCAGGCTTCCAACCTTGGGACTAAGTGTTCCAATTTATTCCGAAACATCTCCGAAACCAAACCAACCATCCCTACAAGTGACATAACAACAAACGAACACAAAATAAGCAATAAATGGGGGAACGAGGCTACAATACTAAAAACGATCAGCTGGGTCGTTACACTTTTGTTGTTAGCCTTATAATAAAATTCTGTTTTGTTGTCATTTATTGCTTTTACTTTCCGTTGTTAGATTATATTAATATTCTGCACATGTTTCTATGTCTAGTAAGTGTCTTGACTTGACCTCGTCACTACTCCACCGAAGTTGGTCTTGATACTTACTAGGTACCGTTATGATGTACTCATACTACACTTCTACACATTTTTGTGCAGATCAGGTACTCCCGTGCCATACGCTAGTGAGTTGAATCAGATATCACGAAAACTTCAAGGGATACCTGCTTGACGCTCGCAGGCCTCGAAGTCACCTTCTAGTGATCATATGCTACTATTTCTTTTGTTTCCAAACAATATTGTAATAGAGATTCCTAGTGTATTTCAATAGAGCTTAAGACTCCGTACTACCGATTTTGGGGTGTATTACTATTTGGTCATTTTGTCGATGCTATGTCACTTATCCGTTTACGCTTTTAAGTTAATTAAATTTAACTAGTTATTCTTATCATGTGTTAGGCTTACCTAGTATTAGAGACTAGGTGCAATCACGATTCCTAAGGTGGGATTTTGGGGTCATGACATTTATTGATTTTCAGTTAAAGAGTTTTTAATTGGGCAAGTTGGGTAATATGGTTATGAGTCTCGTCAGTTAACACCAAATATAATATTAGGCCGAACCAATAACATATACTTCCTTCGTTTCAATTTATATGAACCTATTTGACCGGATATAGAGTTTGAGAAAAAAAGAGAATGACTTTTGAACTTGGGGGGTAAAATGAGGTACATATTTTTTGTGTGTCAATAAATTATTGCATAAAGGTAAATTGTTTCAAATACGGAAATTGGGTATTACATTGTTTCAAATACGGAAATTGGACATTCTTTTTGGCACGGATTTAAAATGAAATACATTCACATAAATTGATAAATTGAAATGAAAAGAGTAATTTTTGTCATTTTTAAGCATACTATTATATACAATACCTTTTGTCATTTTTGAGCATTTATAATCGTTTAAACTAATTGTTCAACTGATATTAGTATTAATAATAGTAACACATAAGTAAGTTGGAATTAATTGCTGATATCGTCGGTTGTAGCAAAGTGAATGTGATATTCAGGAAATTACCAATGAGGCTAGCAGCAGCACCAGCAACAGCAATTGGGGCTCCCTCGTTATTTCCTCCTAACACTACTACTAGGAGTACTACTTTGGCATATTTGCCGGTCTCTTCTACTTCACCACCCCCAACTACTTACATCTTCTCGCTTTCCATCACCCCCATCTCAGGTTTCTCTCTATTTGTTTGTGTGCAAAAGTGGGTAAATTGTCTACTTTGCTGCTTGATGGACCCTTCAATATCAAAATCTATGTGCCAAGATTTTTGCAGAAACACAATTTTGAGAGTAAAGCTGAGGCTTTTTTCATCTTTAGATGACAACTAAGTGACTGAAATGTGAAAGTAAAGGATAATTATTGGATTGGTATTAGCAATACTTTTTTGTTATAGGTGAATTTTCTGCTTGATGGACCCGTCAAAATCAAATTATTTCTTGCAGAATTATAATCCAGATGTTAAAGTTGGGTGGGTTTTTTTCTTGTTGCCTTTAAATGACAATTGAGGAAAATGATTAGATGGGTATTTTCGTACTTTTTTGTTCCATTTGTGTTTGCTCTGGAATTTGCTCATATCGGTGTCAAAGACAGTGTTTTTTATTTTTTTATCACTTGATTTAACTGTGAAACTACTGGAGAATGACAAGATGAGCATATCATATCTTTCATTCTGTTTGTTTTTCTTTGAATTTTGCTTAAATGAGTGTTTTTAAAATAGGTTTTTTTTTCATATAGTTTTGTCACTTAATCTGCTTTGGTATATCTGAGATGGATCGTGTGTTTCGTGGTTGGTGCTAACTTTGCAGGGAGGAAGAAGTTATTGTTACGAGCTCAGAATCTTGATTGTGAAAGTGAGGAACAATTAATAGTGGATCAAATGGATTTGAAGAAAGAATTTCCTGCATTGAACACGAATCTATACCCTTCTATAGAGCCATATAGTACTGGGTTTTTGAAAGTTTCGGACCTTCATACTATATACTGGGAGCAGTCAGGACATCCTAATGGCCATGTGAGTTTTTTTCCCTATTTTTCTCTTTCCGATTTCTGGGTATGTTGGCATTGGAGCAGAATCAATTCATGCTTCTTGAACAAATCAAACTGATTTTCATGCCAGTGTCGAATAGAAAGATTAAAAGAGAATTGCTGTTAAATATACGTTGGACAATGCTTGTGCAGAACTGATGGATCTTTATTTATTTAAATCTTCCCTTGAAGATAAAGTGAGTTAAGAGCTAAGATGCTCTTTGTCTGTTATTGCTTCACTCAGTTTTTCTTTTTAGTCTGTTCAGTTACGTGGAGGCGTAGTTGTTGGCGTCTATTCTATTACCTTGATGGTTTGATCAATTGCCATAATTGAAACTGTTCTTCAAAAGACATTCACTTTAATGTGAACTAATACTACTCTATGTTTTTGTTTCAGTGTGACATTTTCGTTGCACAAAAGCCCACTTTATATTCTTAGCTATTTTGGGACTAGCTTCTCAAACTTCATAAATCAACTCTAGAAGTCATGATATGCGATTACTTCCGTCTCTTCCTGAAAGTGCTCTATTGTTTCTCTGCTGCCCGATTTATCATGGGAAAAGGGCCAAATTTACCTCTTTACTTTCAAATGTTGTATATATTTAACCTTCGTTACACTATTCGGCCAAATTTACACCTACTGTTATACTATCCGGCCAAAATTTACCCCTATCGTTAGCAAAATTTTAAAAATTACCCCCAACCCTAAAGGCAACCCAAAATCTCCTTAAAATTACCCACAATCTTGTAATCCTTTTGTAGAGCTAGCACCCTCTTGATGTCAATCTAATGAAATTCTTTTACTTGTCAAAATGAATCACATATTTCTTGGTGGATTTAATTTGACTCTATTTTTGATAATTCACACTCTTATTCTTATCTTCCGTCCCTTTTATGACTTAGACAGATATACCAAACTTACCTAAGCAACAACAGCGAAGGAAACCTTAGTAGGCAGAGACTGATAGCACCGAGAGGGTGCTAGCTCTATAGAGGGGTTACAAGATTACAACAACAACAACAACCCAGTATAATCCCACTAGTGGGGTCTGGGGAGGGTAGTGTGTACACAGACCTTACCCTTACCCTGGGGTAGAGAGGCTGTTTCCGCTAGACCCTCGGCTCCCTCCCTCCAAGAACTCCCCACCTTGCTCTTGGGGTGACTCGAATTCACAACCTCTTGGTTGGAAGTGGAGGGTGCTTACCACTAGAGCAACCCACTCTTGTCAGAGGGGTTACAAGATTGTGAGTAATTTTTAGGAGATTGTGGATTGCCTTTAGGGTTGGGGTAAGTTTTAAAAGTTTGCTAACAGTAGGGGTAAATTTGGCCGGATAGTATAATAGTAGGGGTAAATTCGGCTGGATAGTATAGCGAAGGTTAAATGTAATAATTATCCCAAAGTAAAGGGGTAAATTTGACCCTTTTCCCTTGTATCAAACTCAATCATGTTACAATGAAGGACTTTTTTTGGAATACAAGATCTACTTTGGGAAAGGGGACACGGATTTTACTACTTCTAGAAAGGAAAATGGGGCAGATAAGGGGCTTAGAAAAGTTGCTGAAATGAAGAGCTATTTGGTACCTCTAGGAATGTAGTGTGGAATTTTATCAAGTATGGCCCCTTCCATTTTCTGTTCTTTGGTAATTTATCCTTATTTTATTTCTTCTGAAATCCAGGCTTCATTGGATAAACGTTAATTTGGCATCCTGAGTCGGAAAATTAAACAAGTTTGAGTTTTACAACATTTTTGGAAAGATCCAAGTATTCCTAGTACGTGGCCATTTAAAGTTCTAAGTTTGCTTGCCTACATTACCATAACCTTTTGCAAATTGCAAAGGCAGTATCAGATTTCAACTTTACATGTGTTCCACTTTCTCAGAGTAGTCCCAGCTCTCTTTTCCTTACTAGGAGAAATTGTGGAAGGTGAGGGAGCAAGCATATGAAGAGTGCATTTTTGCTTGTGACTCCATAAGTGATTGATCAGTTTCCCTCTTTTTGGTGGACAACATTATTTTATTGGACAGTGATATATATGCCTATTTCAAGGTAGGCCATGTTCTCATGTTCCTACTCTCTGATGTCTTCACATGATGCAGAAGTAGAGTTGTTCTGTCCAATTTTATTAAAGCCATCACTTCGACAATTAAAGCGATGAAGCGATGTAAAGTGAGGGGTCATCGCTTCATGGGTGAAGCCATTCATGCATGATCTCGCAAAGGATTTGACGAGAAACAATCGATTCTTTGATTCTCATCTTTGAGGAGTTGGATTGATATCAGCTTTATTGTACGTTGGATGTTGAAATTAGTTTGAAATTGATTATTATAGTACTAAATTCATAATTGTATGGTACTCTTTTTATTTTCCTAAATTGTGCGCTTCACTTGTCGGTTCACTTCAAGCCCCTAGGACCTTGTTGCTTTTTTATGCTTTTTGGATTTTGAAATAATGGTTCTGTCACTGCCCAAGAAGGTGAAATCTGCTTTTTGCAATGATGTGTTAGTGTATACAGTCATTTCGAAAATTAGTTCCATATTTGCAGCCAGTAGTTTTTCTTCATGGAGGCCCTGGAGGTGGGACTTCACCAAATAACAGGAGGTTCTTTGATCCTGGCTTCTACCGAATCATTCTGTTAGATCAGGTAGATATTCTTATTTAAGTGCTAGTTCATGCACTCTGTGCTTTTTCTAATGAAGACATTGCTATCTTCCAGAGAGGTGCAGGTAAAAGCAAGCCTCATGCTTGCTTGGAGGAGAATACAACATGGGATCTTGTTGGGGATATTGAAAGATTAAGAGAGCACTTAGAGATTCCAGAATGGCAGGTGCAAATAAGCTCTCCGTTTGTGACTGCTTGGTGGATGGTACTTCATAAGCCTCTCATAAGCGTGATTTTTGTGCAGGTATTTGGTGGTTCATGGGGAAGCACTCTCGCTCTTGCATACAGCATATCACATCCTGACAAGGTTTAATACATGACTAATTATTCTTTAAGTTCAGGTTTTTTAGAACTTATTAGGGGGAAATGATACATTCTGTTTTCAAAATCATGTTAAATCGATGTTATTGCTAAATATTTTAAATTACCTTTCTGTTAAGGTTACTGGTATCATTCTCAGAGGAATATTTTTGTTGCGGAAGAAAGAAATTGATTGGTTTTATGAGGGTGGAGCTGCTGCAATATTCCCTGATGGTAAGCTTCTGAATATCATGCGTTCATTTGATTGAGTGCATAATGGCCGAGGAAAAATCAACTAACTGTAACCAGTGAGCAGCTGTATCGAGATGTTCTAGAATCTGTAAACTATTTCATCCGAATGCTTGAATGTATTAGTTTTGTTGTGGATGAACCTGAATTATATGTAGGGTATAAATGTACATTAATTTGGCATGGGAGTTCCTATGTGGTTTTTCCATATGAAGATAAGGAACAACTTTTCCATTCACTTGTGGATCTTTGAAAACTCACTTCTAAGCCAAAGTTTTAAGTAGTTCTTTCTAGTCCATGAATGAAATGCATTTTCCAGAGTGTATTTCTAATTTTGTGAACTCGGACAAACTTGTGATAGGTCTATGTGAGTCACTCCTTTTAATGAATCTTTTCAAATTTTAACTAAGTAGTTGTCTTACTAAAGCTTCTTACAAGTACATTGTATTAAGTAGTAATTGCTTACTCAAAACTGGGAAATTGTCAAGTGTCTAGGTCTAATCATCATTAAGGTGTTGTTTTCATTTGGGATGACGTATATAGGTCTGATCATCATTAAGGTGTTGTTTTCATTTGGGATGATGTATAAGGGGACTGAAGATGTAGCTTTGGAAGTTAATGCCTCTTTATTTTGTGATCTGTTGCAGCTTGGGAGCCATTCAGAGATCTGATTCCAGAGAATGAAAGGAAGTGTTTTGTTGAGGCCTACCACAAGAGATTAAATTCCGATGACCTAGAAACACAGGTAAGAAGATGCTGTTTCGTTGTGTACGGCCTCTTTCTTTACCATTCTGGATTTTTGAATATGTTTTAGCAATTCCTCTCATGCACCTGGGAACCTCTAGGTATTTAAAAGTTTCCTGTCTTTTTTAGGTAGACAAAAGAGTTGATAAATAAAAATAAAAATGATGCAACTGTCTTCTCTTTTCCCCGTGGTATCCTTTGATGTTTCACTTTTGCCTATTGGTGAAATACAACATATATATCCCCTTAGATCAGAAACTTTTGAATAAATGGAGGTCTTTTTTTTTTCTGTATAACTTGATTTAATTTTGAATACTCAACAATGGTGGAAGCTCTTTTTGTTCATGTGTTAGTGGCATACGGGTAATGTTATTGAGATAGGAAAGTTTGAAGTATTCATGATACTTACTGCACATAAACCACTATATTCTCTTAACTAAAGAAGTCAAGAAATAAGTTATGCATGCATTAGTAATGGTTTCCCTTGGGAAATGTGTAACCTTTCCAAATTCTCTCCCTAACTATCTTTTCCGATAGCTTTCGTTTCCGGCGATCATTGCTTTTCGATTATCCAGTTTTTAATCTTTATCTTATCCTCTATTCTTTCTTCATCAGTGATTCTCAATCAATTTATTTCTTTCCTTTTTGTTTCTGACTCTACTCTATGTCCTTGATTCTTGTTAAATGAACACTTTTGACTGAGTAACTTAAGCCTACTTTACGGCGACGAGAAAAGTGAAGGTGGCCAGTTAACAAATTAAAATGGTAGAGCTTGCTTTTTCATGTCCTGCAACAAATCTTTTGAAGAGTAGAACTCAGTGATAGTTGGTATGAAATCGTAGAAAGGAGAAAATTTCTTATGAACAGAGTTACTTTTGACAGGTTTAACGTCCTGGGCTTATGCAAATGCATGGAATGGGCAACAGAGGGACTGGGTAACATATGTAGAAGCTGGGATTATCAGATTCAATTCGTATCGTATTTTCCAGAATTTTAACAGGATGGGCAGATTCATCAGAGTCGTGGCAGTGAAAGGCAGCAGTAAAGTATCCATCATAATTCCTGAAATCAGTGAGAATGTTGGGTGGTCTGATTTTGCAGACAAGATCAAGAGATTTGTTTTGGAGAAGGAGAAGGCGAGGTATGAACCACTAAATTCTAAAAGTGGAGAAAGTTTTATTCAGGTAGTACAGATGGAACAATGGCCTAAAGATGAAATCAAAGTGATGAACGATGATTCCTTGGAACCAAACCAGCTTCGGATTGAAACTAGTTCGTTAAGGAGCAGGGTGGATTATCATTGAAAGTGTGTTGGGCTCCCTATGTTATTATCCTTATAAGTTTCCAAGTTGCAGAGAGTTACAAGCTTGGGCAAACAAAAAGTGGAAGATTCCGGCAGGGGTGGTAGTTAAGGAGCTGAATGACGAATACTTCCTTTTTGAATTCCCTTTGAGAGTGGAAGCAAGAGAGAATCAAAATGGGAAAATGGAAGTTTGAAAATCAGGAATTATTCCTGGATTGGTGGTCCCTTATTTTAACTTGTAATCGCAGAAACTCTAAACCTGAAAAGCTTTGGATCAAGTTAATAGGTCTTCCGTCTCACTTATTGTCAGAGAATATCTGCAAAATGGTTGGTGACCGGTATGGAGGCTTTCTGGGTATTGATGAAGAGACAAAAAATAGAAGTCATCTGAGATGGGCGAGGATATGTGTAAAAAACTCTGACACATCTTTTCCGGTAATAGTAGAACTAATTGCAGAGAAACTTATCTTCAAAGTACCTCTATGGGTAGAATCTATTTCTTGGGTGGAGGAAATTGGATGGAAAAGTGAACGAGAAGGTGACCGAAAAAGAGAGGATGATCATCAGAGAGTATCTCAGAACTCTAAGAGTCGCATTAATGAGAGACAGTCGGCGCCCTCAAGTTCCAAGACAACAAAAGTACAACAAACTGAGACGCATTGAGTTTGGGGATGGGACATGCGTCGGTTAAAGGAAAGGATCAGGCGTCCTTTAATAAATCTGGGCTCTCTAATAACTCTAACGCAAACAAGACGGGTAAATATACTGGGTTGAAGGGCACTAATAATCCAAAATAGAAGGCAGGCCCAAAAGAGAGTTTTAATAGGAGAAAGATGGGCCAGAAAGTTCGTTATAGAGTAAAAGTGGTCGACCCATGTATCTAGAAGTCCTCTTTTACTGCTGGAGATCTAGAATTATCCAACTCTTTCGATCCTTTAGCTGTTGAAGTTGAGGCGATAAAAGCGAAGACCTTTTCTTTGGAGGAGAAGGACATGGAAGATATACAACAACAAGAAAACCAAACCAGAGATTTTGGGCAGTTGAAATGGTAAGAAACACAAAGAGGGAAGATGAGAAGAATTGGAGAATCTTCTACCTGAGGAAGATAACCCATGCATGAATGGAGAGGGTGTGGAGAATCCGATGAATAACTATTCCAATAGCGAATAAGAAGATGATTAATTACTGTTTAACTATGAAGAGAGACTAGAAGTTGAAGAAAGACTAGAAGTTGATGAAGCCTAGGATATTTTGATGCTTTCGTGGTATGAGAATCAAGCTGCTGGATATCGAGCAGAAGTTAATTCACTTGCAAGCTTCAGTTTGGGTAAAAAGAAACATGACAAAAATTAGCAAGCAGTTGGGGATAAAGGCATTGGGGAAAAGCTTATGGAGTTACTTATGCGGATTGATAGTGAAAGATCCGAAAACTCTTCTACATCTAGTTCATCGAGTACTGTTTCTCCAAGCAAAAAATGTGAGAGAATTGAAGTTACTGGAGTTTAGGATATGCTTCGAAGGTAATGCAAGTAAAGGGGGTAGAGGCAAGGGAAGGAGAGCATTGCCAGTTGATCAATGAAGTTGAAAATTATATGTTGGAATGTGAGGGGTGTTAACAAGGCGGACAAAAGGGAGTTGGTTAAATTAGTTTTATGTAAATGGAAGGCTGACACACTTCACAGAAACAAAAATGAAAAAGATAAATTTAGATTGTATCAGACAACTTGGGTGGTTCTAGTGGACTGAGTGAGTTGAATTGGAAGCTCAGGGTAGTAGTGGTGGGATTATTATATTCTAGGATAAAAGAAGATGGAACTGTTTGGAGAAAATTATGGGTCAACATTTAGCTACGATCTTGCTAAAAGAAGAAAATTCTAGACATCAACATGCTTTCACTAGAGTTTATGGTCCTTGTGATAGAAAAGAAAGAAAAGGTTTATGGAAGGAACTTGCAGCAATCAACGGAATTATGTCACAACCATGGGCAGTGGGGGGAGATTTTAATGTATTAAGGTTTGAAGAAGAGAAGAGGGGAAGAGCCAAGAATACAACAGCTATGAGAGAGTTATCAAAATTTATACATGAACTATCTTTGATTGATCTTCCATTTCATGGAGGCTCTTATACTTGGTTTAGGGGGAGAAATAGTCAAAGTGCATCCATGATAGATAGTTTTTTTATTATCAGAAGATTGGGATGAACAATTTAAATTCTTGCAATAGAGGGTCCTTCCTAGAACTACTTCAGATCATTGTGCAATCCTATTAGAATGTGGAGACTGCAAAATAGGAAAAAAGTACTTTAAGTTTGAAAATATGTGGTTGGAGCATAAGGGTTTCTTAGAACTAATTGATAATTGGTGGAAATCCTATGATCTCCAAGGTGATCCCGATGTTGTTCTTCCAAAGAAACTTATACTTTTGAAAGGTGATTTTAAAAAAGGGACTAAAGAGGTTTTTGATAAGCCGGAGGACAAGAAGAGTAGGGCCTTGGCCAGGCCGGAAGAAATTGATCATGGTATGGTATTTAATCAGGATTAAGAACATTTAGACTCTGAAAGAAACTCTATCATGATGGAGACGGAGGAGTGGCAAAAGTTGAGGAGATCTCATGGAGACAAAAGTCCAGATGCATTTGGCTTGAGCAGGGGCATAGAAACACAATTTTTTCATAGGCAAGCCAATGCCCATAAGAGATTCAATTGTATTGACAAGATAGAAATTAATGGAGAGTTGGTGGATGATAACATAATCAAAATACATATTTAGGATTTCTATGAGAAGTTGTTTAATGAAACTGAAGACTGGAGGCCAAGTTGGGAAGACGATAATTTGATGACACTTTCTGATGAGGACAAGGAATGGCTGCAGAGATCTTTCTCCATGGAAGAGTTCGAAAATGTTATTAAATCATTCAGAAGTGATAAGGCACCAGGACCTGATGGTTTCAACCTTTATTTTTTCCAAAAATGCTGGAATACAGTTATGGATGATGTGTGGCAAACTGTGGAGGCGTTTTATAAAAAAGGTTCCTTTGTCAGGAGTATGAATTCTACTTTCATTGCATTGATCCCCAAGAAAAAAGAGCTGCAGATGCGAAAAATTTCAAACCTATAAGTTTGTTGGGAAGTGTTTATTAGATCATTGCAAAGTTGCTGGCAGAAAGACTTAAAGTAGCAATTGATAAAGTAGTATACTATCAGATAGTCAGAATGTATTTATCAAGGGTAGACAAATAATTGATGCTGCTACGGTTGCCAATGAGAGGTTTGGCAATCTGTTGAGGATGAAGAAAAGAGGTGTTGCTTACAAACTGGATCTTGAGAAAGCTTATGATCATGTGAATTGGTCTTGTCTGCTAAGTATTCTAAAGCAAATGAATTTTGGTGACAGATGGATTGAGTGGTGACGAGTGTCTGGCGTGTATATAATTTAAACTCGTACTCTGTCAAATACAACAACAACCCAGTATAATCTCACAAGTGGGGTCTGGGGAGGGTAGGGTGTACGCAGACCTTACCCCTACCCCAGGGAGGTACTATGTCAAATAATAGTATAGAAAGATGTCGAACTCACAGAGATTGGTATATCTATTCTAGAGACGTTTCTTGTTTTAATTACTATTTGAGAAAATCAGAAAGAGTTGAGTTGTGAATTAACTAACAAAAAATGCATGAATAGAGCAATAGAAAATATTTT